GCAGCACACCACCTGACCCCCACGTGCTTCAGTCGGCCCAGCTGCAGTGATGAGTAAATGTGGCTGGAAGGCCCTAAGGCACAGAGATGGCCTTCTGTACACGGCTGAGTCTAGGGGCACAGATTAGCTCTGTCAGGGGGATAGGTACCCTAAAAGGGGCTCCTAGAATAGCCTCATCTAAAAGCCACCTCTGGAAAAGGGACCTTTTCATGCTCTGTGAGTAGGAGTATAAATTGGCAAAATCTTTTTGAAACCTTAAAAATATTCATACATGTTGATTATACAATTTCATTTCAGTGAATTTATTCTTCAAAAATAATCAGAGATGCACACAAATGTTTATGTTCAATAATGTTCATCACAGTGTTATCTTTAATAAGGAAAAACTGGAAATTAAGTGTTAAACTGTAAAGCATTATTAAACAAACCATGGTACATCTATGTGTTGGAATATTGGACAGCCCCTGAAAAAAAAATCACTGTAACAGAATAATTAAAAGCCTGGGCAAGTGCGCATAATAGAAGAGTAAGTAGAAAAGGATTCTAAAATAAATAACATTGTTAGAATAATTGAACTTATTTAAAACTCTATATACTCCCATATATATAGATAAATGGCTGGAAAAATATACACTAAATTGTTAAAAGTGTTTAGTCTCTAGGTCTTAGACTCAGGAGTATCTTTTTTATTCATGATTCTTCCAGTAGGTTCCAAATTTTTCCACAATGAATCTGTGTTCTTTTTGCCATAAATATCAATTCCCTGAGTCTCTGTTAACTTAAGACTGTCATGCATGGGGGCCAACCAACCTGCATGCATACCCATGGGGCAAATGAACACAGTGACATGTCTGTGAACTATGGCTTGAGCAATTCCAACCCCCCAGGCTCTCTGGCCTGGGAACAGAGGGTAATATTTGTTTGAGGAGGCTGAGCCTATGAGAAATACCTTATGTCTTTGATATGATTTTTTTCCCTGTTCAAAAGTGACTGTCTGGTGGTGCTTCCCACGGGGTCCTGGCTAGGTAACAGGCAAGTATGAAAAGTTACCTGCAGATAAGGTGCTAGTGGCTTGTGGTAGCTCAATAGAATCCCAAACAGTGACCTTGAATATGTAACTCATCCCAAGTAAACATACATTTATTGAGCATCTTAGAGGGAAATGTACAGCATTGAAGGCATATATTAGAAAAGAAGAAAGCTACAAAATCAAGCATTTAGAATTCAACCTGAGGAAACTAGCAAAAGAAGAGAAAGTTAAATCCAAAGGAAGCAGAAGAAAATAAATAAAAACTAGCACAGAAATCAATGAAATTGAAAAGAGGAAATTGATAGAGACAAACAAAGAAACCAAAAGCTAGTTCTTCAAAAGATCAATAAAATCAATACCCTCTAGTCAGACTAAGAGAAAAAGAGAGAAAGCAGAAATTACTAACAGGTCCCATGGACATTGAAAGAATAATAAAGGAACAATATGAGCAACTTCATGGCCACAATTTGACAACCTAGATGAACTGGACCAATTCCTTGAAAGGCACAATATGCCAAAACTCACTCAAGCAGAAATAGATCATTTGAATAGGCCTATATCTATTAAGGAAATTAAATTGATAATTAATAACCTTCCAAAACAGAAGGTACCAGGCCCACATGGATTCACTGGTGAATTCTACCAAAATTTTAAAGAAGAAATTATACCAGTTCTCTATAATCTCTTTCATAAAATAGAAGCAAAGCGAACACTTATTGATTCATTTGATAAGGACAAGCTTCCCCTAATACCAAAATCAGACAAAAACTTTACAGGAAAAGAAAACTACAAGCCAATATCACTCATGAACAAAAACCTTCAACAAAATATTAGTAAATCAAACCCGACAACGTATAAATAGAATTACACTTCATGAGGAAGTGGATTTATCCTGGTATACAAGGCTGATTCAATATTTGAAAATCAATTAATGTAACCCTTCACATCAAGAGGCTAAAAAAGAAAAGTCATATGATCCTATCAATATGCACATAAAAAGCATTTGACAAAATCTAACACCTGCTTATGATAAAAACTCTCAGTAAACTAGGAATAGAAGGGAACTTTATATTGCTGTGAATCTAAAACAGCTCTACTGAATAAAACCTATTAAACTATTTATGCCCAAGGATGTTCATCATAGTGTTATTTTTAATAATAAAAACCTGGAAACTACCTCAACACCAAGCAGTAAAGGATTGATGCATTAAAAGAGCAGATTTTGGTGTGATGGTTACATTAGCATTTACAATATAAGGTGTCCTGTTCTGGCCCTCCCCTCCCCTCCAGGCCTTTGTAATGTCTCCCTGACCCGAGTATTTCTGGGAGTCCCCAAGTTCTCTGAGGAACTCATGAATCACTCTATTGGATACAGTCACGTGTGGGTTTTACCCTATTCTTTCTCTTGCTCCCCCCTCTCTCCTCAGTGTCCTCTATGCCCAACACCCTTTGAAGGAATCTCACTTGTACCATTGCTGGCAGGACCTGAGCATTGCCAGGGCGCCAAGTTCCAAATGCACCAACCTCGAGAGTGTTAAGAGTCACACTGAGCCCCAGGAGAAGTGGCTCAAAAGCAATTCCATCTCTCCACTGTCTCCTCAGCCCTCACTTTGCTCTGTCTCAGGGACTCCTCACCAAAAGCTACCCTCATCCTTTACCTAAAAAACAAAAGGCTTCTTGAAACTCAACCTCATGCAGGAGAGGTCATAGCCCCTGGTTTTACAAACACCCTCCTGTGTCCCAGCTTGGGATCAGCTAGGCTATGTGTTTGTGTACTTATATATGTAGCTAAATGAACCTGACAGGTATGCTACAGCTGATGTCTCTTTAGTGTGTTTATTTTGTTTCATTTTTAGACATTAAGCTCATCTGTGAATGCAGAGACTGTAACTACCCTCCCAGGAAAAGAATCAGGAGTCATCTGTGTGCCGCAGGGATGCTCTTCCATTTTCTCTTAGCCCTGTGCAAGTGATGCTGGCATCTGGGCTTCAACTCCCACTGTCTATGGCTAAGGACTGGAACCAGGTGGCATCCATCAAGGGCTCTGGATTCACAGACATGGTTCCGGGGAGTGATCCAGGGACAGGCAGCCACTGGAAACACACATGCCCACAGTCTAGCTGCAGCCACCCCCCAAACTGTCTCAATCACCAGCAAAGAATCAGTCTTAACAGGGTGGCTGACCATGGGTCTCTTGAATTTGATTCGGTTTACTGACTAATGGCTGAAATAGACAAGAGGCCTTCATCTTAGAGCCAACCTGTGTGAGCAGGGTCTCTGTCGTGTTTGTGAGGATGTTCTAGCACCTTACCAGGCAGCTAGGGTTTTATGTATGAGTCATAATGAATCACAATTTTTGTTTTGATCCAGTTCAGCAGTTATGTCTCTGAGTCTGAGAGTCTCTGATGGACACCTGAGGATACCCATCACACAGATTCATTGGAAATTATTCATGAAGGGAAACTCTACAGATCATTCTGATGGGTTCCAAAAAGGATAAAGAAGGCAGGATTATATAGCATTTAGTGCCGTCACCAGTTAGCAGAGTCATGGGGCTTAAACAGTCATTCCAAAACTTAATACCTACAAACTCAAGTGTAAGTGGCTTCTTTGAATTCTTTGGGACTAATGGGCCTCGGGGAAGTGAATGCTCTCAGCCTTGTGATCTGAGCAAGGTTCAGGACCTGGAGTGGTTTTGGCTGAGTCACTGCTGGCTACGTGACCCCACGCAGCACACCACCTGACCCCCACGTGCTTCAGTCGGCCCAGCTGCAGTGATGAGTAAATGTGGCTGGAAGGCCCTAAGGCACAGAGATGGCCTTCTGTACACGGCTGAGTCTAGGGGCACAGATTAGCTCTGTCAGGGGGATAGGTACCCTAAAAGGGGCTCCTAGAATAGCCTCATCTAAAAGCCACCTCTGGAAAAGGGACCTTTTCATGCTCTGTGAGTAGGAGTATAAATTGGCAAAATCTTTTTGAAACCTTAAAAATATTCATACATGTTGATTATACAATTTCATTTCAGTGAATTTATTCTTCAAAAATAATCAGAGATGCACACAAATGTTTATGTTCAATAATGTTCATCACAGTGTTATCTTTAATAAGGAAAAACTGGAAATTAAGTGTTAAACTGTAAAGCATTATTAAACAAACCATGGTACATCTATGTGTTGGAATATTGGACAGCCCCTGAAAAAAAAATCACTGTAACAGAATAATTAAAAGCCTGGGCAAGTGCGCATAATAGAAGAGTAAGTAGAAAAGGATTCTAAAATAAATAACATTGTTAGAATAATTGAACTTATTTAAAACTCTATATCCTCCCATACATATAGATAAATGGCTGGAAAAATATACACTAAATTGTTAAAAGTGTTTAGTCTCTAGGTCTTAGACTCATGAGTATCTTTTTTATTCATGATTCTTCCAGTAGGTTCCAAATTTTTCCACAATGAATCTGTGTTCTTTTTGCCATAAATATCAATTCCCTGAGTCTCTGTTAACTTAGACTGTCATGCATGGGGGCCAACCAACCTGCATGCATACCCATGGGGCAAATGAACACAGTGACATGTCTGTGAACTATGGCTTGAGCAATTCCAACCCCCCAGGCTCTCTGGCCTGGGAACAGAGGGTAATATTTGTTTGAGGAGGCTGAGCCTGGAAGAATGGCGACCGGGGGTGGTTTCTCAGATCCTCCATGCACGGGGCTTTCAGCCCTTACACTGCCCTAAAATTCTGCCTTGCTGATCTAGACTGGAGAGTGAGTTTACCCCAACAGCTAATTCCCCTACATAAACCCATGGTTTACTCTGTGTCTACTTAATATCTATTAAGCAACACATGATCCTGTTCACCAGGAAGTACGTTCCAAGGGAAACATTTCTTTCAAAGTTAAGCCAGCGTCCTTGGTGAGGGGCCGTATCACCTGGGAATTATGCAGTTAACTTTCGAACATTAAGCCTACCTGAATGCGGACTCACCATACCGTGGTTGGCTGAAGGGTCATTTCACCGTCGTGCATCCTGCACGGGAACAAAAATTTTCAAAAGGCACCTCATCCTTCGAGAAGAAAGCTGTCTTCTCCACAATTCATACTGGGAAGAAAACAGGTAACTTGTGAGACAATCAAAGCACATGATCTATAGGGCTTTCAAGATGACATTTTCTGAAGCAACACAGTCATTCTTAGTCCCCCTCATCAAACCCAAGAGCCAAGCATGGTAGATAATATCAAGGTTCCTGACATCTGGCTTTGGGACATGGTGTGGCATTTGTCTGGCTTAGGCTGATAGTGAGCATGGGCCTTCCCTGAGCAGGCTTGTTGAAGATGGCCTAGGGTCATGCCAAGCCATTAGGGAAGGCAGTCTGAAGTATATTTTAACATTGTTACAGATAAGTCACAGTGTGAAATAGGACAAATATTATCTCCATTTTATGGAAAATAAATCAGCGAATCAATCAGATCACTAATACATTTTATTTAGCACCTCTTTTGTGCCAGGTACTATTTCAAGCACTGAAAAAACAGATCAAGTCCTTGTCCCAATAGTTTGCATCTTGTTGAGAGGAAACAATCAATAGATTTATAGCAGATGGGTGACAACTGATAGGATGAAAAATAACACAGGGCAAGGGAATGGAGAATAAGAGAGGCAATTTTATATGGAATATCTAGGGGAGTTTCTCTGATTAGCTGACATTTGAGGAGTGAGAAAGTGAGCCCTGCGAATCCAGAGGGCAGAAGGGCCAACAGAAGGCCTCACGGTGAAAACCCACCATGATGCATTAGAGGATCAGCAAAGACACCAGGGTAGCTGAAGTCCATGGTGAGGACATTGGCCTTTGCTCTGGGTGAGAGGAGAAGCCACTGGAAAGGTGTCAGCAGATAATGATACGATGTGACTTTCCTGCGGGTCGGGGTGAGCATCGTCACGGCTGGGGTAACCAAGCCAGATGCTACTGCCACCATCAAGGTGGTCACGGTTTGGCCCAGGCTTGAAACGATGACGGTACAAGAGGTGGAACAATTTCAAAGGAAGATATGAAAGGACTGGCCGATACACTGCATGTGGGAGGTGAGAGGAAAAGATGAACAAAGGTAATTGACCTAAGTTACTGGAAGAATGAAGTTATTTTCTGATGTAAGAATGGGGTGGGTGGAATACATAGTTCAGTTTTGGTTATGCATTCAATCCTCACGATTTTCAATAGTTTTCTACAAAGTCACCATGAAGGCTGAATTAATGAATACTGAACAACTGCTGATAGGGAAATACAGGGTTAGCCTTCTGTGAGCCCCGATGGCAAATATCTTCATCAGCTGATCAACACATGGTCCTTTTTTATATATGCTTTTATTTAAAGATGCCTTACTTAATATATATTGTTCATTCATTATCTTTGAACACAGAGCCAACAGCATTATAGCACATTGCCTGAGTGAAGCTTATCATGTTTGCTTACCACCCACCACGTATTTGCTCCGTAAGGACCGCCATAGCCTTCTTTCACCTACGAACACAGATAAGCACTTCAGCACAACTCTTTGGAACCACTTTAAACAGTGAAATCACCACCAAAAGCACAAGAACATGACATTAAATAGATCACAAAGGACACTTACTCCCATGGTGAGTGGAAACGAGCTGAAACAAGAAGGCAGAGAATAGCCACCTTGGACTTCAGCTGGAATGTGCTTATTGGGCGACTCAGATTTTTCATGTGTGCACACATCTCACCAAGGACTGTTCAAACACCACAAGTACTGGTTTCGGGGTCATGGATATATTTTAGCAAGTAGGCAAATTCACAAATAAGGGATCCATGAATAATGAAGCTTGACTGTATTAAGACTGAGAAGCCTACTGTTCATCCAAGTGGAAATATGAGAAATGAGTTCAAGTCCAGGGGATTCCAGGGAAAATGCAGGGCCTGGAGGTGCTGACCTGGGAGAGTCACAGCCATGTATCTGAATCTGTATTTGCAGCTAAAATGAGACTGGATGAAATCATCCAGGGAGGTAGAAGGAGGAGGGAAGAGCTTCAGCAACTGAATCCAGGGGCCCTCCAGGGAGCATGTGCCTGCCTAGGAAAGAGTGTTCAGGGGAGGAAGAAGAGAATCCAGGAAGAATGACAGAATGGAGAATAGGTCAAGTGCTGCTGAAACAATGTGTCCCATGAGAGGACCTTTAGAAATGACCTTTAGATTAGGCAAGATGGAGGCCTCTGGTGATTTTGCTAAATTGTTTCATTGGAATAATCAAGATAAATGTCTGGCCAGAGGGGATCAAAGAGCAAATGAACATTTTTTGCCAGGAGTTTTGACCTCAATGAGAGAAAAGGCATAAGGTCAAAACGATTTATAGGATCCAAGATTCTTTTTCAAGGGAACTTTTACAGCACCTGTGTTTGCAGAAAGGAATGAGCCGATGGAGAGGGAATGATCAATGAGAAGACAATGATCAATGAGCATGATCAAAGAGCAGGGACAGTCGCAGGCGGTCCTCTTTGCATGCGCAGTAACTCTTATGACTTCCCAGCGACGGTCCTTGGTCAGTCCGATCTCTCCCTTCATCCACAGATGAGAAAGCGGAGGTTCAGAGAGGCCAGAAACTCGCTCACAGTCACCCAGTGAGAAAGTGGCAGAATCGGGAGGCCAACCTGGGCCTTCTGCTCCCAGAGCCTGTGCTTGAAGCAGCTCTGCTGTCCTTCTGCAACTTTAGATTCCAATCTATTCATACATATTGATTACCTTGCATCTGACGTTCACCAACCAAGGTTGAATGGCGAGAGGAAGGAGCGAGATGGCAGGCGTCTGTCTTCCTGCTCACCACACTCCCGGAATCCCCAGGTTTTGCCCTCCATGGCGAACAAGGGCGAAAGGCTGTGGCTGCAGTTTGCATGAAGCTCAGGACGCTGGTTCGGTGCTAATACCTGATGCGTTGGAAACACGTCTCACCTCCAGAAATGATACGAGGTCAGTTTTGCAGCACGGGGGAAATAAAAGTCACTCCTTGGGGGTCATTCCCAAATCAAGAATTTAATTAATCTTTCATAAGCTTCTCCTGCTCTTATTTTGGTCCCACATGAGAGATTTCTGAGAAAATAGCTCAGCTTTTTCAGAAATGTATGCAGCTTGGCATCCCTTGGACTCCATCCACAGTAGTTAAATAAATCACTTGTTGCTAAAGAGAACAATTTCTTCCCTTGGCAGCTACATGGCCCTCTTGGTTTATTTTAAAATATATCAACTAACTTGCCACAGCTGCCATTGCTTTTCATGTGTCTGACATCCAATTTCAATAGCTCAATGAAAATGGCACGTAATAAAATAGAGGCAGGTGGACAAGGCGAGGAGCGTTGTGTGTAGACACATCCTTGGAAAGGAAGCAATGAAAAACCTCGTTCAGATGGGATTCAGGAAGGGGCTTCCTGCCAGCAACTTGGGAAATTAATTAGATTACATGGAAAGACCTCTTTTATATACTCTCTTTAAAACACCAATTCTCCTGTACATGTTACTTTAGCAAATGGGATCTACCCACATTTCCAAGCTATTTCATATGAAGTAACACCTACCTGATGAATACCTTTATTTTTCACTTCTATGAAAAATATTTCCTCAGGAATGTAGTCATGCTATTTAACAAAGTAAGGAATTCAGAATGTTAGATGTGTGATATGACTTTACTCATCCTGCAAACGAACAATTCCAGTGATTCAGTGCTATCATACATTGGGCATTGTGACAAACAGCAGGGTAACAAGAATTAAAAAGACCAGTTCTCATTTCAGTGGGTTTGCAGTCTCATGAAGATGATCTCTTTCTATAGGTAAAAGTAGAAGCCGGTCAGGCCCAGCTTTGCTACTATCTGATGACTAAGACAACTGACTTTGATTCCTCATCTGTAAATTGGAAAGATATTAAATACCTACCTTTAGGATTGCTGGGGGAATTAAAAGTAACAATATATGTCAAAGCACTGTAAAACTCAACAAAAATCTTCATCCTTCTTAACCAAACTCAAAGTACACTGCGATTATGACATCGCCATTTATAATGTTCAGGACACTGATTCAATGGCCGAATATTTACTATCCATTATAATATCTTTACAGTGAAACTATTTGGCATTGAAACTATTAGGAGTTCACAGCGATAACATTAGTTGCCTCAGCAATTACAGAGTCTACTAAAATATTCATCTGGATGGCTTGTAGATTCCTTAAACTCAACCAGTCACAAACGCAGCCACCATCATGAGTTGTCTCGTCTTGCTAATGGACATCTATTCTCTCTCTCAAATCAGAACACGGAGGTGATCCTCAACAACTCTCCCCCTACTGATCAAAAATCCTACCTCACTGGGTCTCTTGGGTCTGTCCAGACATGGAACTAAATGTTGATCAGGAAAAGGCCAAGGACAGATATCTAACAAGAGGCCAATGATATTTTATTCTATTCTCACATTAATCATTTACTTGCCTACATATCTGTACAACTCTACTCTTATCCAGGGTGAATTTTACTCTTATCCAGTAATATCATGCAAATTTTCTTAAATGTCTTGTTGAAATCAATATAAATTATAGCTATGGAATTCACTTAATCTATGATTCCAGTGATCTTATTAAAATGCAAATGAGTTTGGGAAAACTTGTTCTTAGGAAATATTTTGCTGGACTTAATACAACTTTCACCTACTTTTTAAAAATGTTATAATTAAATGATACAGGTAATTAAAAAACTACAAGTCCCAAAAACAAAGAAAAAGGAAAATAACATATAATCTTATAGCTATTTAAAAATTTTTTCTACAAGTCTTTTTGAAAACCATGCTTCTATATGGTTAATAGTGTACACATATGTTGCAGACATTTTTTAAGTTTATCCTGTTTTCCAATGTTGTTTCAGTTTACATATTTCTCATAGATTTCATAATATTCCATCCTATGACTGCATAATATTTTAAACACACTCAAGTTACTGAACTTTTAGACTGCACTGAATTTTTTAATTAAAAATGATGATATGAATATTTTGCATTTATATAGATTTTTTTTTTCTTGGATACATCCCCAAAGATACAGCTTTGGGTCAATTTTCTGGTGCCTAATACATGTCTGTACTATACAGGTAAGCTGGGTTATGCTACAGCAACAATCATATACATGTCAATCTCATTTATTTAATAAACAACAAAAAAAAGACCTTAAATTTAAATGGCTTAGCATGTGAGTTTGTTACTCACTCATACCGATTCTGCTGTGCTGTGTCAAGGTTCTGCAGGGTTGTTCCCTTCAAAGAGGCGACTCAGGGATTCCAGCTGGTTCCAGCTTGGCCTCCGTGAACGGTGCGGTGGGGAGAGAACTGGAGGTTGTACAGGGACTTTTTATTGCTTCAGCTTGTCAACTGCACCCACACCCATTGATCAGAACTAGTCATGTGTTTATATGTAACTGCAATGGGTGCTGGGAAGTGTGTCTTCTGCGTGTCCAGTACACAAAGGAGCATCACTGTTGGTGAGCATTAAGGTCCACTCCAGCGGTGCGGCTTTGCACTGTCAGTTTAGTTTAGCTGGAACTACATTTCCCAGAATCCCCCTTTTCACAGGGTTACAGATACTCTGACCATAGGCGATAGTTCCATGAGATGCGGAAGGTGGAATTGAAGCAACAGCGGTCAGGTTCAGAAAGCGTAGGCAACAGGGGCCGCTGCAGCTCACAACCTCAAATCCTGGCTCACCTTGCTCGTGTGGGGCAGCAGTCAGCCTACAGCCCCCAAGTTCCCATCAGATCTGCTTCCTCAGGTTCCTGGAGTCCTGGGGGAGACTCACAGGCACCTCCGCCGTGAAGGGCACCAGCCTCTCTTCGGTCACGTGGGCTCTGCATTTGGAGGTGGTGAGAGCTACATGCAAATTCCACTTCGTCCTCAAGGGTTCCAGCTTGCCCGTGCTCTTTCCGGCTGCACACCCAGCTTTTCTTCCTGCCTGCCAACCCCACTGACCTGAAGTGATTTCAGACCCACCACCAAAAGCTGAGGCACCAGCCTTCCACTGAGTTCTTCACCAGCTCTTCACCACAACTTCACGATTTCAAATCCTTAAATCTCTCAGTCCATGCTACCCATCCTGATTTTGCTTCTCTGATAAAACCCTAATTGATACAAAATACATTGATATTTTTAGTAAAACAAGGTCTAATTTTAAGATATTGTGTTCACAAAACTTTTATTTGAATATACTGCTCAGAAGACTGGGATCACACAGAAACACTTATTTTGATCCACGATGAAAGAGAAGGAACAGGTGATAGCCTATGGAAAGGAGGATACAACTGTCCAACATGAAGACAATTATAAAAACAAAAGTAAAAGCACAGTTATTTGAACAGGGAGCAGCCTCAGAAGATCTGAGGAGAGGTGATCTGGGAGGATGTGCTACATTGGGGTGCAGAGGAAATCCACTCCGGTACCCACATTTCCACAGCTGTGAGGAGGGCAACTCTACCGGGAGTGGATTTTTACCCCGAGGACCAGAGTTGACAGGCAACAGGCCAATGTAGGGAAAAATCACACTAAAGTGTAAAAACCATAATTTTCTGTTAAATTGAGTTGAACTGAGTCCACCAATCTGTTCCCACACATTTTCTACCTGCATAAAGTTGGGTTCTGTTTCTTTGTCATGTGGCCAACTCCACGTGAGGTGGCAGCGCTCTGCTGTTGGGGAGGGACACAGGAGGCGAACGTACGCAGACTTCCGGCCCGCGGTTGTGCTCTGAGGACGAGGCCTTCCTGACTTCCTCAAAGCTCTGCAGTTGACCAAGGCAGGGTTACTCGTGGCTGTCCACCACACGCCCTCCACATGCATACTCCTGCCCTTCGTGCCAGTTACTCTCCCTGCAAGAGGAACTCATTGTCCAATTTCCCTCCCCCAAACTTTCCTCTGATGCCAAACAAAACACAGCAATTATTGCCACGTTGCTTCAAGGAACTGTGGCATACTGGAAAATGCTCACATGAGCAAAGAATTCTATACATAGCTTGTATGTGATTCGTGCAACTCAGTTTGATTTCCATTGTTGCGTGTTTCATTCTCTCCTGAGGGGAACTATTATTTGGAGCACTGGGTGTGAAGAACTAGGAAATCCTAGATGATCAAATGGTCTGTGACCACTGAGCCCACGCTGAGCACTAGACACAATGTGGCTGATGCCGGTAGCTGTTGGCCAGTTGGGGATCTGGCTGACACCAAACACACGCTAGGTACCATGGTCTAACCAGATTAGATAGCTCATAGGTGTGGCTCAAGTCACCACATTTTTTTGTCCTTCATGTCTATGTAAAACAACAATAATAATAATTTTCCTATCGGTGCATATATTAGAAACACGCTAAGAAAAATGAACAAAGCATTTATAGTATCACACGCAAAAGTTACACAAATCCAACTTTATTCATTATGATTTATAAATTATACTTATATGGTCTTGACATATTCTATTAGAATCATGGGGGGTTTTTTTTGAGGCAAATATATAATCCTCAAATGCAGGGAAAAGGCCACTGGTGATATGAGAAATACTGGTATGATAATTTTATAAAATTATTCAAGTCTGTGGAAACACTCCAGTTCGGAGATGATAACCTGAATTTTTGGATTTTTCAAGTTTGACATGCATTTTAGCTCCTCTGCTTGGTTTGGGCACTGCATATTTTCCTCTACTTAATGGGATTTACCAACAAATTATTCCAGAGACAGCAAATGAGGGACCACAGGGCCTCAACTGATGTCGGACATTTTCTAAAAACTGGAATCAGCTGTCAAAATTTTGCAAATAGAAAGCTCACCGTGGCCCTCCTCACACCGTGTGTATGGTGTGCACCCCACATTCACTCATTTTAGTGACTCGCCCAGCTCCCACAGGCATTTGTGTTGGTGTTTACGGTGCCTGCTCCATGGTGTTTTGCACTGGATCATGCTCACAGCATTTGGGACAGGTCTACAGGCCAGAATATGCTGATTTATTACTGTGCAGACTTAAGAACAGCTGAGGGCACATACCTCTTAAAGCTGCTTTCCTCCAAGGCGCTGTTCTCTGCATGATTAAACATTATCTCTTGAGTCTGTACTCTGTTACATCAGGCTGCCTGTGCAATACTTACTTACTTATATTCCAGTCCACTGGGCCCCTGCAGGGCAAGCCCTTTTCTTCCTTTTACCAATCACTTCTCTAATCACAGTGACACCCCAGTCGCCACCTTCCCTGACCAACGCCCCAGACAACTACCCTTTCCACTCCTTTCAGCCCTAGGATGTCGGGGTAGGAAGTAAGCCCTGCTGAATTTCTGTTTGTCATAAAACAACTAACTAAAGACAGCAACCAAAACAATGAGCTGTAGGCTGAGAATATGGAAATATGCACACAATTTAGTTGTGACTTGAATGAATCTTCCTAATATTATCAATAATCTATAGAAGCTGCATCTTTCATCAACAGAAAAATTTCAAAATGCAAGAAAATAAGCCCTTTTCTAAGCTAACTTTTTTAAGGGGTAGAAAAATATGATAAATCTTACATCTGTACACTTCTCTATTAATATTACAGTCTTCTGTGATAGAAACATTTTCTCATCTACAAATGGTATTTTAACTTAGGAAATATACTTTCATTAAACTCTTGGGCCTCAGAATGGAGCATATTAGGAGAATAATGTCCTTTTGAAATAAAATAATTATATTCAGCACAGACTGATACTTTTAAACCAATATGGATTTTAGTAACTAAATAGGAAAACATTTCCCTTAGCATCAAAATCAAAGATTGTATTTATTTTAATATCACTAAATAAATCTGAGAATATTAATTGATACTTGCCTGGGTCAAATATTCCAGTTGCTTTAAGAAACATGCACTAAAAAATATAAATTTATATCAAGTGTCAAATTTCCCTACTCTTCTCCTTCTCCATCACAAATTTAATAGCCTACAAAGTATCTTTTTTGTTTGCATGGTTTTGTTTATTGTGCTTTATAATCTCTCCAGCATTGAGGCAGGAAAAAAAGAGAAATACAACTGAAAAATGGTTTCAATTTTGAACCAACAGGAATTTTGTTAGGTGCAATCTCTTGTGGATACTTCCCATAACAGGCTGCGAAACAGTGAGCTACCACCAGCCATAGTTGGAGAGGTTAGGCCATTCCTTGATAGCAGTTATACACCCAGTGACTTTTTCCCTATAAAAAAGAACTATCACAGTGTCAGAAAAGAGTAGATAGTTCATCATCCAAAAGACAGGTTGCTCTCACCTGTACAAATTAATCTCTTCTCTTGATGTCCAGACATCAAAAATATTTTCTGTTGAAACTGAGATAGGTTCCTATACTGGAATATGGTCAATATTTACCACTTTTCTTTACCCTATCTGCAAAACTCTCTGCCCAAGCAAAATATTTTAAAGCGTACTTTTCATCTTTTATAACAATGATGGTCTTGGATTAAAACAATGGCTGCTTTGATTTTGGTGAAGCCATTCCAAAAAATCAAATATGTAGTGTAGTTTGAAGTTTTAACAAAGAATTCAGGGTAAATGAATGACAGTGGAATCTCTCATACATTTATTGAATGCCTACTGCATTCAAAGTTCTATGGTGCATGCAGACATATATTCCAGTATTTTAGTATCTTTGGATCGTGGTCCTCCAGTGACTGCTCAGGAAAAATACCATTACATTAGAGAGAGGAGTTCGTAACTTGGGGAGGTTGGGGCAGAGGGTGGGGTGAGGGGAGGTGCCAGTAGATTCATTTCAAGAATTTGTTGCTCTGGGTTTTAATAGCTTCTCTCCAACTCCACCTGTTAACATTGTACAGTTGAAGATTTGGTTCAGGAATCCTTTATAATCTACCTTGGCCATGCTTTGAGAATTTTAGGAGCCAAGACCTTAAGCTATCTTAAAACAATCCAAACTCTTTAAAGGTGGTCCCAGAAAATCCTATCCGGACCTTAAACTTTGGTGGCAATTACTTTAAGACTCTGAAGGGAATTTCTTACTCTTGGAGGGGTCAGGGGTCAGGAGGTCAACTTGCAAAGCATCTGGTGTCTGCCTCACTCCCCTGCCACACAGCAGTTCTATCATTGTCCGTATTTTGCTTTAACATTCTGAATGTACAGTCGCTAAGAATAATAAGAGCGTAGCAGGTTATTTTCTCCCTCCACAAATTCTGGTTGCATAATTTAACACAAAAACAATTTAAGGAAGAGATTATTATCTTTCTACATTCCAAAAATGCTCTTACCGAATACAGTTTAAAATATGCAACTGAAATGCTGTGTTGTCCCGAGTATTCAATAAATTTCTTGGATTTTTTCCCCCCTAACCACAGGAATATGATAAATAAAATCACTCAGTTCCTTAAGCACAGCAAACATGAATCAAATGCCTTCTACTCCATATTTATAAAAGCCAATGCCACCATCCTAAGTTTCTCAATATTTCCTGTCGCCTTTAAGCATTTTCATTTATTCACCTCAATATATTTTAATAGCATACATATGTCCTTAAAAACTTCTTCCTTGGGACTTACTGTCAGCTTTCTCTTCCCCAAATCTTTAAAAGTATTAGCCTAGCTATGGCTGAAAACATGTTTGTAACAAGTTATATGAAAATCTCCCTTCATGCTCCATACGGTCAGAGCCCTTCAGAGGCAATCACAGTCCAGTTCTGTTTATCAGCAGGAGGGGCATAAGCTCCAAGCCCCAAGTTCCTAGAGCTGTGAATCCATTGTGCTGCCTTTATAAACAAGGAGACAGCCCTGTGACAGACACGATTTGGAAGCATTTTCCTCTGAAGCTCACATTTCCAATCTTTTCAGCTCCAATTCTTTAGTAAAATGCAGCCACCCCAGTGTGCCTTCCTATGTTGCTGACTATAGGGCATAATTAAAAGAAACAAACTCCAGCCAGCCACGACAATGGCTGCAGTCAGCATTTAAGACAAAACAGACTCTTGGCGATTTAGCAAAAGGTATTTCTCCCAGTGCTGCGTCTCCTTCCACTGGGCCTCTCCCTACCTTCTCCATCCATTTGAGCCGGCAACTTCCTGTTTGTTGCATTGAGAATGCACGATAGGCGCTTTCTGGCTTTTAAGTCTGGTCTTCTTGACCATGGAAACACAGTTATAAATTGTTCTCGGAGTTAAACCACTCAACATCTTGGCACTAGGTTGTTTTTAACGTTTCAACAATAGGCACTGTTCACTCCCCTCCGTCTCAGTTCTTTACTCAGTGATCAGGCAGGACACTGGTGAAAGGCTAGTCACGGCTTCCCCCCGTGCTGTCAGTGCGGTGGCATGTGATGATTCACATGGGGTGTGTTTGATCCGAGAAAGCCCAGTCTCTGCTTATTCTTCCTTTGTTCTGTCATCTGGGGGAAAAGAGAGAGTGTGTTGAGCTGACTTTCTCGTTCTTTCCCAGTAC